GATCCCGGGTCCAAGGTGACCTAAGCCCATTGAGTGCAGGGGTGTTAGACCTGGCGGCTGGGGGTGCCTCACCTTCCAACTACCCCGGCCTGCCATGACAGTGTAGGCCCGTGGGTGGGTGGCCGGGGCACATGGGACAGGCACTGGCCCTGGAGAAGAAGGCCCTGAGTTCCAGTCCCACCGCTGCCCACTCCTGGCAACGTGCTCCCCCTTCCAGCGGCCTGTGGGCCAGATGTATGGGTTCTCTGTGTCTGCTGTAACAATGTACCGCAGACTGGGTGCTGAAAACAATAGAAACTTAGTCTCTCATCGTTCTGGAGGCTACATGTCTGAAATCAAGTGTTGGTGGGAACGCACTCCCTCTGCATGCTCTAGGGAAGGATCCTTCCCTGTCTCTTCCAGCTTCTGGGGGCCCCAGGCGTTCCTTGGCTTGTGGCCGCATCACTCCCATCTCTGCCTCCGTCTTCCCTCTGTGTCCTTCTGTCTGTGTCTCTTTCTTCTTATAAGGACACCCGTTATATTGGATCAGGGCTGAAATTAAGGTGTTGAAGCGCCGTGGCTCTCTCTGGGGCTCTAGGGGCAGATCCCTCCTTGCCTCGTCCAGGTTTTGCCAGCAATCCTTGGCTTGCAGCTGCGTCACTCCAGACTCTGCCTTTGTTGTCACATGGCCGCGTTCCCTCTGTGTGTGTCTCTGTGTCCAAATCTCCCTCACCAGTCACTGGATTAGGACCACCCTACGCCAGTAGGAAGGAGCCTTGATGGCACAGTGGCTAAGCGCTCAGCTGCTAACCGTAAGGTTGGTGGTTCAAATCCGCCAGCCCCTCCACAGGAGAAAGATGTGGCAGTCTGCTCCCATAAAGATTTCAGCCTTGGAAACCCTATGAGACAGTTTCTACTCTGTTCTATAGGGAAATTCTATGGGGCAGTTCTACCCTGTCCTGTAGGGTCGCCGTGAGTTGGAATCGACTCGACCGCACACAGCAACAACTCCGGTATGACCTCATGTCAACTTGATTCTATCTGCAAAGACCTCATTTCCAGTAAGGTCCCATTTATGGGTTAGGCCTTGAAGGGACCTTTCTGGGGGCCACCAGAGGGGCTGGGGCCATCCCTCGCGGTGGCGGGGCGGGCGCTGACTGGCTCTGTGTCTGCAGTGTGCGCCCGGTGGCTGTCTAATGGAGCTTTGCATCCAGCTCAGCATCATCATGCTGGGCAAGCAGCTCATCCAGAACAACCTCTTTGAGATCGGCATCCCGTGAGTACACCAGCTTCGCGGCTGCCCCCCAGCCACCAAGGCCAGGCCCTGCAGCTT